GCCAGAGTCGAAGGGTGGTCTACTCCAAGTTTCGTCTTGCGAGTCTCCATCACTTGCACCTCTAGCTCTTCGGCCGCGTCCCATCGGCCTTGATTACTGTATGTTGATGCAAGATTGAACATACTAGTGAGCGTGTTTGGGTGGTCTGCTCCTAGTTTCGTCTTGCTGGTCTCTATTACTTGCACCTCTAGTTTTTCAGCCGCGTCCCATCGGCCTCGATTCCTGTATGTCGATGCAAGATTGGACATGCTAGTCAGCGTGTCTGGATGGTCTGCTCCCAGTTTCGTCTTGCGGGTCTCCATTACTTGCACCTCTAGTTTTTCAGCCGCATCCCATTGGCCTCTAAGCTTATGCGCCAACCCTACCATTGCCATACTTGAAAGCGTATCTTCATGCTCTTGACCAAGAATCTTCTTCCTCACCTTCATCGCCTGGAATGACATCTTCTCCGCTTCAACCCCATTTCCCATTTCCCATGCATACCAAGCTGTCCTGTACAGTATCGAAGCCCAATCTCTTAATGAATATGACTCTTTTGGCTGCTGCGTTATCGCCAATTTCGCGTGTGGGAAAAGCGCTACGAAACTTCTCATTCATCTCTGTTAATGCAGATGGGAAACCCTTTGGAATGCACAGGCTGGTGCAGTTAGCTACGCGAAAATGGCTTGAAGCTCACGGACAGTTGGAAAGATGGAAGCAGCAGTTTGTTAGGAATCTTTGCAAAGAGTTTCCAACAGGGGGGTATGAAAACTGGGCAGTATGTCAAGCGCAACTACATCGTCCTCAAACTCGTCACCCTGGCTAGATTGCGATGAATAATCATCATCATCCCACTCACCATCATCGCGCTCTTTCCGATATCTCTGGGAGTCTCTTTGCTTAGTCGATATTTTAAGTAGCGCTTCTGGAATCCCTTGGCGATCGAAAAAGCTCATCAGCGATAGCAAGTCAGCTGCTGATGGTCTTGTCTGACGGATATGATTGAATGATATCTGCCAAGCAATGATAATTGAGTTCTTTGCTTCTCGGTCCCGACGTAACCAGCCCCCTTCATGATCTAAGAGAGTCGTTCTCTTGCGATCGCTCTTCCGAAACTGTTCCAAGTACTGTCGCACTGAACACCGCGGCGCTCGTTCGGAGATGTAAGCCGCCGCTTGAACGATAGCAAGCGGCATAAACTCAAGCGCTGCTGCAAGTTCGGCAAGGTCTTTATTGTCAACTTCTACTCCAAGTTTCTTCTCTACGTTCTCTAGCTTTCTTTTAAACAGGGCCATGGAGGGCACCTCGTCCATTGGTTCGACTTCAATAATGTCGCACTGTTCGACAAGCTCCAGTGCTGCCTCTCTGTTCCTCGAAGTTATAAGAATCACTCCATTCTGGCTTTTAGGCAGATAATCCCGCAGCGGCTTGGAAGCGCCCCATGACTCATCCGACTCACTTTGGCCGTTCACCTGGGCGTCTACTAGGAACCTAGCATCATCTAAATTATCGAGAATAAGTATCCATCGTCCTTGGCTATCGCGCAGCCAGTCATGCAGGAGCTTGAATATGTTGGCCTTAGGGTTCTGTCGCCCGGGTATCTTTGCGGAGTCTGCAATGTCTCGATAGCTCTGCTCAAATCGAGCAGCGTTGCTGGCATGGACCCAGAAAACCCATATTTCAGGCGATCGCACTCGGACTCGGTACGTGTATTCAATGGCGAGTTGCGACTTACTTGGCAGCGGTTAGCCATCCGCATCAGCAGACGCGTCTATACGCACCCGACGCCTCCCAAGCCAACGAGCGCAGTCCAAGAGCCTGGTGTGGCACACTTGTGGTGAATTTGATCAAGTATCAACCCTCGCTCTACGAAATCCACATCGCGACGGAAAGGCACGGTGGATGAGGGGTTTGGTGGGGTCTCTATTTGTTCTTTGGCGGAGCATTTGTTAGCGCGCTACGAACGCCGGTTGCCTATTTACATAAACCGACCAGGAGCCGGATGGAACTCGGCATGGACCGGGCCGTTGATGATCCCGGCTTGGAGGCCGTAGTTCGCATCGCCAAAGGATATCGCGATTGCCATATCGCGAATGTCATGGAAACAACGTTGGCGTGATGGATTTTGGGGTTAAAACGCTGAGAAGATGTGAGCTTTGCCTCACGCGAAGGCGCTTGCGCTCAGCCACAACAGCTTGCATCTTCTATATTAAGCACGAGTCAGCACCGCTAAATGTAAGCTTCAGGCTGAGACTCCTCAAAAGCATTCTTCTCAACATCACAAATTATAAATGACCGATCCTCTTAGTGTTGCTGCAAGCGTGGTTAGTATCACCATCCCAGCCCTACACGGTACAAGGCTACTTCTGGATGACCTGGAGAAGCTTAAAGATGCTCCAAAGTCGATCAAACGCCTAGTGGATGATGTGCAATCCGTCGATGCAGCACTGCAGTTGCTTCGGGGCGTGGAGGATAGAGAATGGGAGTCACTTGGCACAAGTGTAGCTGAACAGTCAAAGAGCACGATTAGCACCTGCGCGCAAGCATGCGATCACTTCAGGACCAACCTCCAGCGGTGGACTAGACACTCAGAAGATGGAAAACTGGCATGGCAAGACCGAGCAAATGTGGGGTTCTTCAAGCAGGGGCAAATGAAGGCTATATCGGAGCAGCTTCAAAACTGCAAGCTCACCATTAACTCCGTCGTCAGCATAGCAACCTTGTGGGTAACCCCAGTTTGATTGCCTCGTTGAGAAAGATGAGCTAACCTTTCCTTACAGATACAGCTCCATCCGCCACGTCCGCATCACGGAAGAGATTAAGAGAACGATATGTACGAAGCAAGCTGAGGTCGAGGGTGCTATTACCACAGCAGATAAGCAACTGATAATATTGGAGAATAAACTGGAAGAACTAGATCTCAGTAGCGACGATGAGAAAGAAGCTAGATCCAACGAAGATAAGGCTGATGCAATATGGCAACTTGAAGAAGAACGCAAAGCGCTAGTTGTGTCCCGAGGATTACTGGGTGAGCTGCTGTCTAAGTCGCAGGAAGAAGCTATTGCGAAAGCTGCAGGGAACCATAGTCATTTAATCACAGTGGTTTTCGGCAATCAGAACTCGGGCATTCAAGCTGGAACCATCTCTGGTGGAGTCAGTGGAATCAGTTTTGGAGGAAAGTGAGCATATGATATTTGCGTTATGAAGGCCGGCTGCTACATTTCTAGATTGCAATAATGAAAACAAAATCTGAGGCTTGCCTCTATCTCATCAATATTCTACTTTCGCGTGCCTGAAATGACCTCCTGCGCTCTGATCTCTGCTTCCTGCACATTTGAGACACCACCTAAGGAATAACTTAAAAGCCTAGATGTGGGTTGTCTTCATATCCATGCCTTTTCTTCTTGATCAAGGCCTTTAGCTTCACAAGTAACTCTTCAATCGGATTGAAATATGGCGAATACGGCGGTAAATCCATGAGTTTAACGTCTGCTTCAACACACATCTGCTCAATCCGCTTAGTGCAGTGGAAAGACGCATTATCCATCACGAGGACAGAGTTTGACTTTGATTATCAATTATAGTGGTGAAGCAGTTATTTGGCAAAGCTTTCAAGCACCACACTGTCCGTTGTTCCCCGGAACGCACGGGCAAGGAGGATGCCACCCTGTGTATACGTGGGAATGATCTGATACCGCTGCGAGGGTCAATATCGATAGGGGTTTGACAGGATCTGTGTGCGTGCATAATGTGAAGGCAGTCGTGTAACTGCCGTGCAATCGCATACGTACGAGCAGGTATTAGCCTTCCTTTTCGGAAGCTTGGATGACATAATCAGGCGTCTCGCTTAGCGCACAGGCTAGCATCTAATATATGTCTACTAATTGCCTCTCTTACTCCTTTACTTAACTATAAAACTTTAACAAAGGGCTCTATATTAATAATAAGTAAGAGTAAGTATATATAACTAGTCTAATGCTAGCAGATAATAAAATACAACTAACATTAAACAGCAAACAGGCCTAACGCTCTCTGCCTAAGCCTTAGCAATCTTAATAGTAAGGAAACTAAAAAAGCTAAGTCTAGTAAAGTAACTACTAACTTCTAATAACAATCTAGCTATATACTATAAAATTGTCCTAAATGCTAATGTTTTTAAGCGCTCTAATCTATGTGCACTAGGTTTACTAGTAAGAAACCTCTAAAACTAGCAACTCTAATAGCTAATTCTAATAAAATAAACATAAATAATGTTTATAATAACTAAGTAGTAAATAATAATAACTATTTAAGTAATAGTTACTTATTATAGTTTAGTCTAAGCAATAAAAAACTATAAGATAATAATAATAATATAAATAAAAAAAATACTACTAAAAGTAATAGTAATAATAAAGCTAGTAACAGTAAAAGTAAAAATATTAAAAGAGGTAGCAATAGCAACAACAGTAAAGCGTAGAAGAACTACTAAAATTAGCTAGATACTAGCATAAACTAAGAATTAGAGTATGCTCTTACATTTTAAAAGCTGCATTAATTAGCTAAAGAAAACTTAATGTAAAGATAAAATCTAATAAGTTTCTTCCTACCTAAATTTAGATAGCAGTTACTAGAAGATTTTACATAACACTAAACCTCTACTAAATTTAGCTACACTTTACCTACTTAAACTAATTCTCTTTGTAAATCTAAAAATATAGCCTTATCTAAATATAATCTGTCTAAAAAACAAAGAATTATTATAGTTAATAGTAAAAAGGTTATTTAAAATAACTACTAGACTAACCTAGTAGCAAATAGTTAGATTATTTAAAATAAAAAAACATTCTTTAATGCATTCTATAAATTACACTAGTTTCTATAAAATTAGCTAGTATACTTTTAACTATAAGTAGATAAGCACAGTAATAGCATTACTATGTCTCTAAACATAAATAAATTACAGAGCGCTAAGGCTATCTAGGTGTTTATAGTAGAGGCTAAGTAGATTTCTTATAAATAATATATAGCATCTAGTAAGAAATTTCTAATATGTGTTACTATTTAAAGCTTTCTTAAGAGTTTGTGCGCATGCTGCTATTATAAAGGTAAAAGGGCTAAGTGTTTATTTTATAACTATAAGTGTTAGATACATAGCTAACTCTACTAGACTTTAATAGTATATAAAATATGCATCTAGTAGTAATTAGTAATTAATTAACACTACACTTAAAAAGTGTAAGATTTTTAGAAATAATCTTCTAAACAAAAAACTTAAGCCTTTAAAATACTATTAGAAGTAAAAGTAAGCCTTTCTAACTTTAGCTATAAGCTACTATAATTTTAGCAGTAATATTAGTATAAATCTTAACTATACTATTAATGTTTATTAGATGTTAATAGCTAGACATTCCTAACTTATGCAGAGTCTAGTAGCAGGTATAACTAATACTATTAGTAAGATAAAGAACTCTATTAGCTAGCTATGTAAATATAGTTATAAAATTAAAGAATAGCATAATCTTTTACTATTAATTACCTAGGCTAATTAGCTAGAAGCAGAGCTAGATTTAGACTAATTAGAATTAGAGGAATTAGATAGTAAAGTTAAAATTTAGTTAAGCAACATAAAGTCTAGCAGCAAATATAAGAAATTTAGCTATAATATTAAAAACTTTAGTAGTAACATATAAAAATATAGTAAGAAAGTTAGTAGCAACACTAAAAGTAGAAAATATAAGTAGTATAAAGATAACTCTTTTAGATAACAGCAATCTCTAGCTTAATCTAATAGATTTTAATATAATAGTAATTACTACACAACACTATAAAAAAGCGCTTAGGCCTATAAATACCTAAAAAAAAAAATATTTTTATATAAAAAAATTAAAGACTACATGCTAGATAGTAGGCAGCTTTTAACAAAATGCTACCTAGTAAAGCAAACAGATAACAGTATAATACTTACTAATAATAATATTTAGCCTTAACAAATGCAACAGATATAGAGCTAATAGCAGCTTAAGTCTATTAGTAAATAAAAGGACTTTAGATAAATAAGTATAAAGTAACTTATAAACTCTAGCAGATTAACACTAATAAAAAATAAAATTAAGTAAAATAATAATTATATAAACTATCTCTATGTGTAACTATAAAATGCTAGATATTAGTCTAAGTTAAGTAGGTTATTTAATCTATAAATTAACATTTCTGCTACTATAAACATTATATCTTCTGTTTTTCTTCTCTTTTCTACTAAACAGTATTATTATTAACTTAGGTAATAACCTAATATTCTTTCTATGCTATCTAATAATTATTATTAGTCTCTAGATTAAAATATTTACTTAAAGACATAAAGCATATATTATTAGATTTAAAGTGTATTTTAGGTAAGATACTTTTATAGTCTAGATTATTATTTATAAGTAAAAGAAAAAGTAAGTAAGCTAATTAACTAGAATACTAGTTAGCTATAGAAAGACAACACAGATTATAACTAGAGAGCATATAGGCTTAGGATTTCTAGTAAGTAAATAGCTAAACTCTAGCAGATATAATTACTAACTTAATGTGCATAAAGCTAAGTCTAAACATTTAAAGGTTTAGAACTATAAAATTCCTCTAACTACGCCTAATAATAATAGGGCACAGCTTTATCTATATAAACATGCTAAAAAAAATTAATACTATTAGCTTTAAACATTAGCCTTAGTAGACACTAATTATAGATAAATTTAAATAAAGAAATGTTAGATCTAGTACTAGATAAAGTTAGAACACAAAGTAGACTATCCTAGAAAGGCCACTCCTAGACTACGTTGTTCTAACCCTAGAAAGATGTCTACAAAGTAAGCAGATATTAAGAGTTAATATTTTTATAATAACTTTACTACATCTAATTTATAAAACTACTAGAAACATTAAATAGCTAATTAAGTAGACAACTTTAATATTCTAGTATATATAGCAGGGGACAGGTGGATAATAGAGAGACGTTATATGCCTAACACTATTAGCTTAGTAACTAAAGAAGTAATAGTACATATGTTTATATAAAAATAGTTTGCTAACTGCACTTTTTTACTAGTAAGACTAAAGTAAAGTGCAACTAATTAATAAGTAGCTTACTAATACTAACTTTATAAATCCTTTTTAAGGTTAGACTATAGCTTACTAGTAGCATAACACTTATAAGCAGAAACATAGTAGAGAGTAAATATATTAAACAGCTTATAAGTAATACCTATAGTAAAACAAACATTAAAGACAAAAAATAAAGGCTATAAAAAAAAAGTAAAAAAAAGCCCTTTTTAAATTACACCTAGCTAAATTAGCTAGATTACGCCTTAAGTGCAGTAGATTATAACCTAGGCATTACTAATACATGCACAAAACACAGCATATAACTAAGTAAATTACAACAACACCTTCTTATACACAACATTAACAACACGCCCTATTAAATTAGCCTAGTTTAAAATATATATGCTAGATACAGTTATAACCCTAGAAAGCGCAACATAAAGCTGTCTATGCGTAAAGACTAGATGCCTTAGGTCCACACCTATAATCTTTATAGATTAGCCCTGTAATTTGTTAATAGACATTATAAAACACAACTAGATAAGTATCTAATAGTGTATAATAAAAAAAAGTAAGATGTTATAATCTTTTAATACTAATTTAATTTAAGTAATAGTTTATATTTATTTATTAAATTTACCCCCTAGAATCCTTCTAGTCACAAACATACTTTATTAACCTAGGGTAGTAACTAATAATTAGGTCTTATTGCATAAACTTTTCTTAGAATCTAGATTCTAAAGTAAAATAACTAAAACTTTAACCTTTAAATAGAGTCTAGTAGGAGGTAAACTAGGCAGATTAAACATCTATAATAAATTCTTTAAAGAATAATTAATGCTATTTAATTTTATCTAATATACCTTATCTGTAAACATAAATTTCTAGATATTACTTTTAAAATGCTTAAAAAAATATTATTAATCTTTATAACTACCTTATTACAGACTATAAGGATATAGCGCTGTTAAAAAAAGCGCGTAGTAATAGTAAAGTCTAGAAATACACGCAGCATATCTAATAGATATATATAAAAATAAAAGCAACTTATAGAGATAAACTTCTAAACACTAGAGAGCAGATTAACATGTGTTTACTTATCTCTA